ATTGAGGGATGGTGACTGCACCCTGCCCATACCTTGACATACTCTGAACTGGGATTTGCCGTGATGAGATGGGGAATGGAAGGTAAGGGTGTGTCAGTTGTAGGAATGATTTTGTGCTTGAATTTGGAGTTCTATGTGATTTGATCAAGATGTTAGATAAAAAAAGCAAAAGAGGGTTGATGAATTGTGGAGATTGGTAGGCTTCAGAAAATGGTCTGGAGATCGGGCATGAAAAGAAAGGGTTAAAGGTTGTAGGATTCTCGTCACAGGTAGATCTTTGCTCAATTTCAAGAGGGATTTTTGCTTTGCTATTTGATGAAACTTGTTTGTCATCTGCTGTAACTAGGAATAATTTTACACAATTCAACTGTAAAATTCGTCCTATGTTTCTATTTTGATATGAAATACGTTATGGCTGATTGAATTGAGTTCTAGTTTTTACAATATATTTGTTGATAACATAGAACCTATGTTACCTAGGTACTTCTATTTGAAAGCCATACCCCTAGCCAACACGTACCCGTAACCATACCCGAACATCTAGGACACTTCTTGAATATACGCATACATTTGTTCAAGCGTAAATGCAATTATATACATGTTTTAATTTAAAACAATCCTCATACACTTCTTGCGTATAGATTCTACACTTTACATCTATTTCTAATATACTGATCTGATATAAATGAAAAAACAATATTGATCTTATGTAAATTAATTTTAATACATATAAATATACAAAACATACATATTTATAGCCGTGTCCCCGCACCCTACCTTTTACAAATTTGATGTATCTTGCACTTGTACCCATACCATACTAGTAACTGTACCCGTACCCATGCAACTTAGCATAGTAACTTTTGGGAAGGCACTTCAATGAACAAATATTTATTTGAGAATGACCATGAACTACCCTCTCACTTAGCAAAACGAGCTAATAAGAGATCGTATGGGAGTTCCAACTGATATAATGTGTCTAATCGCACGAGTCTCATCACTATCTCTTGGAAACTCATTTTGCTAAATCAGTTTTTAGCATATACCCATTTTTTATTTTTACTATTTTCATAGTCTTTTTATATTACTATGAAATCCTTAGGGTCAGGAGCATACAATTAAACAAAGCAAAAGATAAAAGATGCATCATAGTAATGTAGATTAAGAATTTAAGATCTTAGTCTCCTTCTATAGATTTTCACATGTGGTGTTCACGAATACCTCAAGTAATCACCATCCAGGCCGGCCACAATAACAGTCTTTCCATCGCGATCAGCTGCATTACAGCAGAAGTCATAGAGATCTTCAAAGAATTGTGCTTCATCTACCCCTATTACATCAAGCTGACAGCACAGGGTGTTAGTAAAATGATTATTAGAGAAAAGTGTGCATCAGAAATAGAAGTATCTGAGCAAAGTACTCAGCAATATCGATGCAAATATGAAATTCTGCATATAGTACAAACAGTAAAATAGTAACTCTAGGACCTAGCTACTGAAGAAATATCTGCTAGTAGTCCGTTATCAGATAATAAACAAAATATTCAATAAAAATTAGCATCGAGTATAACACAACACACCCCCCATGCATGCATGCACGCACGCACACGCACACTGCACATGTGCAAGTGTGTTCACTCACACATGCACGCACAGACTACCATGCACACACACACCAACGCACGCACGCACACAAATCAAGATGATTAAAGTTTAGGAAAATCAAAGAAAAAAATCAGTCTAATCACCACTTCAGCTGATGACCATGAACCCTAATATATTTACAAATTCTTTCAAACAAAAGAGGCCAAAGCATTTCCGGACATCAGGAAGAATGAAGGTGAGAAATATAAATTAAATAGAAATGTTAAGATAGATGTTAAGATAACAGGAAAAAAAAGGAAAAATAATGTTAAACTACATAATAGAGCAAGTTGAAGTTATGTTGCAAGAGAAGAGACACAAACATGCAGTACAACAGGATACACCAACAAATATAATTACAAAAGGTACACAAAACAGAAGACTTATAACCAAAACATATGCTTAGCATGTGCCACAGAACTTCAGGTTTCAAGATCACACTACGTAGACGAGCAATTTAGCATAAAGAAAAAAGATTTCACTGTACTTTATCATATGCTTCAACTCCAATCTTTGTTTGAAATGTTGAAAGCTCACTCAGAGCCAAGCATTGCATTCTCACACCATCATGTGTGACTACTGAATCAATCAGATATCTTGTGTCCTTATCAGATTTTATCATCGCCACCTTTCTGCAGATGCAATTATTCAGATCAACTGAAATATTTTCGCAAATTAGCAAATTTACAATGCAATTCATTTACAAAATAAAAAGAAGGGTTGTTTGATGTTAAACCCAATATCTTGCCGAGAATAATCCCCAAAACCATCCACTTCCAAAATTATTCATACACCCAAAACACCCTATCTTATTTACTTTTAACTCAGATTCAACATTTTACACCTTTATTGTAGCACTTTTTAACTAATAACTATAGCACTTCAAAACCATAGCAGTGGACCTTGGTAATAATTAACAAACATTTAAATCAGCTTGGTTGTTTTGGGTGTATATATGATTTTGGGAGCATGTGGATTTAGAAGTAAATGACGGTAAAAGCAAAAACCCCTTTAAGAAAGTTCTCATATAAATATGCAAAAATTGCTCATAAGCCCTCAAATCCTAACAGGTCTTGCAATTTGGCTCAACCCCTCAGTTTATGTTTTCCACTAAAATAATCCTAAACCCCTAAGATGAGGGTGTTTTTGATCATCGAGGAACTAAATTGCAAAACTCTGTAGGATTTGAGGGACTTATGAGAAAATTCAAAGATACGAGGGACTAATATGTAATTATTGAATATTTAAAGGACTATCATCTATAAACCAATATTTATTACATTTGAAAGTTATCAAAAGTAATTTAAAAACAGTGGATCTGAAAGTATTAAATATCTTTTAATAAACTTATAAAAGCATAATAAAGTATGTATTATGTTGGAAATTATAAAGAAAATAATTTCAAAATATAACTTTCTTACAAAAGGTTCTGTTAAGACAAAGAAACTCTTCCTTAAAAACAATTAAACCAATTTTCTCAAATAAAATAAAACAATCAAACCATTAATTAGTGCATCTAGATTTAGGAATATGAACTCAATTTTTAAATAGATTTTTATAATGTCACCTAATTCCTATATATTTTTCCATCTCGCATGCAAAGGCACGTGCCAAATTTTCTAGTTAATTAAATTCATCCAATTTCAAAATCTTTCATACACCCACAACACCTAATCTTGTCATTTTAGACATAAAATTGATGGTTAACCCTTTATTATAGCACTTTAGCAGTTCAACAAATATTATAGCACTTAAGACCGAAATACAGCAGTTTACCATACTTTAAAGTAAATTAACACAGATTTTTGGTGTAAGAATAAATAAATTCAGAGATTTTCGGTGCCTGAATGACTGAAGAAGTGTCATATCTTAAAATTATACCAGGATAAAAGAAAGTTTACAACAAAAAAAAACACCTTAAACATGTTCTACTACAAATATACAAACTGCAAAAGATTACTTTCAGCAAAAAATTTTCTTTTGCATTTAGGAATTAATACTAAATTTGAACAAAAGAAAGTCCTCCTTATCAACTCAGATGTTTTGGGTGTATGAATAATTGTGGAAGCGTGGGGTTTTGAAATTATATCAGGGTAAAAGATGGGGGGAAACCCTTAAAAATGTTCTCTGAAAAATATGCAAAAGATTAAATTTTCCTGCAAATTATTCATTTTGCACACAGGACCCAGTACCAAACTTGAACAAAACGAAGCCCTGCGCATTCAATCTTACCTTCCCTTGTCGACCTCACACTGAATCCGACGGAGAAGCGCCGTGGTCTTCCCCGCAAACATCGGCCCCACGATCACATGAATCTCACCCGACAAGCACCGAGCCTCCGCCGAACGATCCGAACCCTTGATTGGCATACTGGAGTGGGATCTAACGGTCAATCGAGAAGGCCTAGACTTGATGGAGAACTCAAAGAGGGGTTTTTTAGGGTTAGAGAAGAGAGGGGAGAGGAGCTGGTGACGGTGATGATGAAATGGGAGTGAAGGAAAGAGGAGAGATCTCATAGTGGCAATTGAGGAGCGCATGGTTGTATTTATTTACTGGATTTTGGTATTTGAAATTCGGGTGTGAATTTGGAGGGAGCAGGGTTTTTTTAGGGTTTTTGGAGGGAAGGAGTAAACTAGATGGTGGGGGATGAAGAAGTGGTTTTGGGAATTTCAGCCAAGTGGATCTACAAGCAGGTTGAAATGGGCTTTCTTTTGACTTCACAGAATGGATAACAGGCCCACTACGGAATAAAAGGATGGTAAAAGCGGCACTCTTTGAAATTTCATATTTATCCCTAATTTAGTGTGAAACCTCTTGACCTTACCTCAATTTCTCCGTAAGAGAATATATTCTTAATATATTCCAAGATACTCTTAATATATTCCTCCATATTTTGATGTTAATATTTATTTTTTTTCGTATGACAAACTTGTCTCCAATGTACTTAATTAAACTAACCAACTCAAAATTTCAATAGATAACTCCCTCCCCAGTGTGGAGTGCAGCAGCAGTAGAGATCCTACGAGAACCACCCCGTAATTAGTAGAGGAGTTGTAATTATCAAACTAACTCTATATCACCCGTGAGTGATATAGATCAACCTTTTTTATATAGATATGTATGATAGTAACAACTCGAGTAAGAATTAATGAAAGAGAGACTAAGTTGTTTCTGATTACCATAGACTTACACTATGGTCGGTGATAATAACACTTTTATTATATTATACCCTTATTATCTATCTTATCATATCATACTCCCTTTAAAAACACGAGTTCGGGAAAATCTTTCGGTAGACAAAAATACCCCTATTAAGTTTAAATTATCCTATCACTAATCAAATTCTAATTTTTAAATTGTATTTAATGATTTATTCTAATCCTAATAAAATAACTTCAAAAAGTTTGAACTACCCTAATCTTATTCAAATTCTAACTTTTAAATTGTATAACTATCCTAATTATAATCAAATTACCAAAATTATTAACTAACTAAAATTTGTTTATAATGACAAGTTTAAACGTATCTCAGATCTATAATTTTTAAACTTGTTAGTTGTTTGAACTATCCTATAAAATATTTGTTTGTTTTCTATCTTTATTTTTATTCTTTTTAAGGATGTGCATGGGGGACAGCCGGAGGGGGATAAGGAGAGTTCATGTAACTTTAGGATTTGCATTATTTTATGTTGTATTAAGATATGGTAGAAGTTATGTTTGTTTCGTGTGCTAATTAACTAAATTTAAACCAAAGACATACCTATTTCGTGTGCTATGATAATCACATTTTATTATAATTTTATACTCTTATTATCTATTTTTAATGAATAAATATACCACTAATAATTATTTTTATCTTTAATTGCATGTTAATGAAGAAATAATAAATAAATACCCAAAAGAATCCAACTTCCTTATTTTTGTAACATTTTATTAAAGCCCAAAATCAAGCCGAATAGCCTGTAGAAGCCGAAGAAAATAAAAAAATCTAATATGAAGAGAAATTATATTCAAGATGGTTGGTCGCAAAGAAACGACGATATCTCCCAATCCGAAAGGCGAAATTTAACATATAATATATGAAAATCATCTATCTCGACGAGACGAAGCCAATCGTGAAGTTAAAATTTTTATTGGAGCATCGATGCGCGCATCGATGCCTGTATCGATTCCAAGTCATCTAGAATTCATCAACGGTCGAAATTGCATTCTTGGAGATCAACTTTGATTCAAAGGCTTTCATTCACTGATGTTTACTATAAATAGGGGTAGAGAGTAAGGGGTTAGGGGTAAAAATTTTTGTAACATCATTTGGAGAGAAGGGCCACTCTTAATTGAGAAGGCCTTCCAAATTTATAATTTTTATTACAATTAATAAAATATTTTTTTCACCACTTTAAATATTTCTTCTCTTTGTTGGATGATGAAGATGGAGATGAAGTATTTGGAGGTTTGCATTTTTTTTATTTTTCTCTTTTATTTCTTTTTTATTGCTTATTAGTTTAGATTTATTTCTATGCTTGTAGTTAGATTTTATTTTCTTGTTAAATAGCCAAGAGGCTAGAACCCTCTTGTCTTAGATTTATTTCATGCTTATAGAGTAGATTTATTTTCTTATATTTAATTCTTTTAATTTATTTTATAGTTTATATTTTATAATTTATTTTATAGTTAGATTTTAATTTCTTGTACTATTCACCTTGAGGCTAGAACCCTCTTGGGTTTAGTTTTTCTTTTTGTTTATTTTTATTTTCTTTGATTCGCCTTTAGGCTAGAACCCTCTAGAGAATCGCTATTTTATTTTCTTATACTATTCACCTTAAGGCTAGAACTCTCTTGGGTTTAGTTTTCTTTTTTGTTCATTTTCATTTTCTTTGATTCGCCTTTAGGCTAGAACCCTCTAGGGAATCACCTTTTTCTAAGAAGTGGATTCAATTCTAGATTACTCATATCTTTAATTGAATTCGCCATCTTTACTTTCTTAAATTTTCTTTTTATTCTTGATTTTCCTTTTTGATTCTTGATTTTATTCATCTTTCTTTTTCTCCTTGTGAAAATCATTCATTCTTTGTCACATCTACTCTCACTTACATTTTGTGCCGATTTACACACTATCACTTTCACTCGCATTATCTCTCCACAATCATACTTATTCTTCACTCCTATTTGTTACGCACACAACATAAGAACCGATTTATATTTTCTCCTACAAAACACCTTCCTCGTGAGATCGATAACTTTTTATACTATAACTTGACACGGTTGTGCACTTATAACATTTTTGGTACATGTTTTATGCCGCATCATGCTAACTAAATTTAAACGGAAGGCATACCTTGATATTTAACAAGTGCACTTGAAATACAATTAAATATAATAAACAATTAATTATGATAAACATCTCTAAATTTAAAATAAACAATGTAACACAATCCTAATCAAATTTTATTTTTTAAATTTTAAATGTTTGTACAAAGAGAACTATAATTATGACTATTATCCTATCACATGCAACACCTCATGCCTATATATAAACCAAGAAACTACACAATTTTTACAGTAACTTCATCTCCTTCAACATGTATGTTTCTTTTTTTTATGATTATTCTTTAGAAATATTGTGCATTTGATTTAATGGTGATACTTGTTTCGCACTGCAATTAGTTTTCATGGCAATTGATATTTTTTTTATTTCTTCAGTTTTCATGCAGTATTTAGAGGATTAATGATTTGATTGTTTCATGTTCTCCCATCTATCAAGGTAAATCTTCATATTTGATATTATTTTAATTTGAGTTTATTTTGATTAAATATTTTATTTGATTTGACCAAAATAGAAAACAGATACCTTTCTTCTTGATGCACGTTTTTGTTCGTAAATATGATATTCTCATCTTGTTTATAATGACAAGTTTATACGTATCTGAGATTTATAATTTTTAAACTTGTTAGTTGTTTAAACTATCCTATGAAATATTCGTTTTATCTTTATTTTAAAATATTTGTTTGTCTTTTATCTTTATTTTTATTCTTTTTTAAGGATGTTGTTGGGGGTCGGCCAGAGGGGGATAAGAGAGTTCATGTAACTTTGGGATTTGCATTATTTTATGTTGTATTAAGATATGGTAGAAGTTATGTTTGTTTTGTGTGCTAACTAAATTTAAACTGAAGGCATACCTGTTTCGTGTGCTAATTAGATTTAAACGGAAGGCATTCCTTGATATTTAACAAGTGCACTTGAAATACAATTAAATATGATAAACAAAATATGATAAACATCTCTAAATTCAAAATAAACAATCAAACACAATCCTAATCAAATTCTATTTTTAAAATTTTAAACGTTTGTACAAAGAGAACTCTTATTATGACTATTATCCTATCACATGCAACACCTCATGCCTATATATAAACCAAGAAATTTACATAATTTTTATAGTAACTTCATCTCCTTCAACATGTATGTTCTTTTCTTATTTTCATGATTATTTAGAAATATTATGTATTTGATTTAATACTGATACTTGTTTTGAGCTGCAATTAGCAATTGGTTTTTATGGCAATTGATATATTTTTTTAAATTTCTTCAATTTTCATGTAGTATTTAGAGGATTAAGGATTTGATTATTGCAAGTTCTCCCATCTATCAAGGTAAATCTTCATATTTGATATTAATTTAATTTGGGTTTATTTGATTATATATTTTATTTGATTAAACCGAAATAGAAAACATATACCTTTCTTCTTGATACACATTTTTGTTCGTAAATATGATATTCTCATCTAGAACCAAATTCATAACAAGTGTGAAGTTTGACCTTGTGGGCTTTGATATGACTTCACTATAGAATTTAAAATTAGAGTGACAATTTTCTTAACTGTAATTAATATATACATACAAAATGACTAATACAGTTGGGTAATAATGACAAACATGTCATATACTCAAACTAACCTAATTAATAATCAAGTTGAAAGAAGAGACTAGGTTCTTGTCCATACCTACAAACCCCAAAATATTGAGTCTCCTTTGGACCCATTTGTTGGATAAGAGAAAATATATTAAGTGCTCGCATCATACATGCGAATATTGTGTTATTTTTTTGGGTGGTAAAATTTCATAAACTCCCTCCACCTAACACACACATATGCACACACACGCAGTTTGCTAATTTTAAGATAACCCCCTAAACTTAATAAATATCATGTATTCCACCTAACGTTTGGGGCTTGTTATAAAACACTCCAAAACATTTGGCTTTTTTAAAACCTAACACCAAAATGAATACGTAATACTATTAGATAATAAGAGAAAGCCACAAAGTAATGACTCTGCTGGTAATACCATTAATGATAAACGACAACGTAAAGTTGACTTATTTTGTGGAGCCTTACTACCGGCCTATGAGCATGAAGGTTGGTGTAGATATACTTTATAGTTTATTAAAAGGGTTATATAACATTATATATTAGTTTATTAAATATTTACATTTGTGCTAGGGAAAATTCTTAATGATCCGGTATGTTCTTTACTATATAAGCTACGCACTCTAAAGTTTTGTGTCTATTGTGGATCCAAAAAGTTTGAACACGATCTTCCAACATTCTGTTGTCACAACGGTGAAATCCACCTAGCAGATGTGAATATAGCAAACGAATTATATTCCCTTTATACA